TGATAGCCTACCTGTACTAACATTATTACTAACCAAGTTTGAGTAGAGCTACTCTGTCATGTTCTAGTTGATAGCCTACTGACTAAACATTTATTACAACCAAGTTGAGTAGAGCTACTCTGCATGTTCTGTTGATAGCCTACTGACAAACATTTATTACAACCAAGTTGAGTAGAGCTACTCTGCATGTTCTGTTGATAGCCTACTGACAAACATTTATTACAAGAAGTATATTATATCAGTTAACAATAACAGTTATAGGAGTGTAGTAGGCCTTGCACAGTTTTGGTTGTAGCCATTGAGAACTTTATCAAGATCACTATACTGAAATACAGAAAATATCTTGTTCATAAATGCACACGAATTGGAGACTTTTATGCTTTTATCCCAATTCCATAAGGCAGGGAGAAGTGGCTAGTGTTTAGGAACATCAAACTGAAAATTCCACAGCTTCGATACGTTGATACAATGTGACAACTCAGCAAACCACACCATATTAGGTTAGCTTTTTTACCTCTGCACTTCTACTTCCATGCTAGGAGGTGACTGTGGTGTCTTGAAATTCCCAAAGGAATTGCTGATGGGGATGGTGGTGGTGCTGTTGTTGTTGTAGCCACAACCTGAATATGACGTAGAAGATGGGTAACAGTTCCCTGGAGGAGAATTACTCAATTTGTCAGATGCTGATAGTTTTGAGAAAGATAATAGCGTCTCAGGAAAATTTGGGGGCGTTGCAGGAGTGTTGGCTGGTGTACACATCTGGATAAATACAGAAAGATCTTAACAAGCTCAAATACATACCATCTGAACTCTCAGTAGTAAAGTCTTAGCACTATAGACCCTTCACATTAAAGACTCAACTATATCTATAGTTATGGTGTTATAAAGAGGAGTATTTGAGCACATACATATGTTTAATATCATGAATTATGCATGTTTAAACTCCAATTGAACAGCTGGATATATATCTTTTTTTTTAGGGGGAGGGGATAAAGTTTCTTCACTGTATTAAACTTTTTTCTTTTAAATAAATCTTATTTATTTCACCAAATTTGATTTTTAACTACTATTTCTAAGCTATTTGTGCGATAAACTGCTTGTGGGTCCATGACTTTATTGGGTCAAAGGATCCCTATTAACACATGAATCACACAAAAGTAAAATAAAGATATCATCAACACTGCAGTTAATCACACTAATTACTGCTATGGTCCTTTATGTATTTTACACAGGTTTGCTGTGGTCAGTTCTTTATCCCGAGTGTCGCAACAAGTAAAAACATAAAATTACTTTATATGATACAATTTGTAGATCCAACCTAGTGAACAGCTTAAAAACAAGTCATTACAATTTGAGGGTTAAAAAAATATTTCACAAACACACTATTATATACTTAGCTGATGCAACTGGAATCAAAAATTTAAATGGTGTTGTGAAGCCTTGTTTCTTATACCTTAAAAAAAAAGTTGATTTTTATAGAAAAATATGTTTGTGGTTATAAAAATGTATTTTATGTTTTTCTGTTAGATGATTATTGTGAATTTTTTTTAAAAATACATTGCACTAACTCTTAAGGAACTACTTTAGTACTGATTGTACTGATTAAATGGGCTAAGTTCCAAGACGTCATCAAAAATATTTACAGAGCATCCCCAACTAAAGTTGGAATTTCTCGAGAATTTTGTAGGCAACAAAGTTTTAATCCCGGTTCTATCTGAAATATGCAATTTCTGACACAATAAAAATGAACACTTTCTTTTTTATTTATTAAAACTTATTCATATTTTTAAACAAATTTTATTACAAAAACCCAATCACATACATGACCTCAATACTGTGGGCTGCAGTTAAAAGCATGACCTAACTGGCTTCTCAACACTGCATGCACACTGACCATTATGCACCATGTGCATCGACATCATGGTTTTAAGACTGTAACTCAAAACTACCTTGTTTTTGTGCCCGCCAGAACAGACAATGATTCAAGCCTGACTGACATCATATATTGAATAACTATCAATCTATCTAAAGTCAGATCATGTGATTAAAAAAAAAGTGATAGTAATTTTTCAGAGAAACAGACAGAAGAATTCAAATTACCAAGATAATACTATACATATCCTGAAATCCTTGTGGTCTTTATCCTTTCATTCTATAAAATGTTTATTATGTTTTACCTATGTATGATCTACATTATGTGATACACGTAACATATGTGTGCTTATTGTGGACTTACTTGCAAATGTAAGTCTTCTTATCAATTATAATTTGTTTATTATGTAGTTAACTATTTAAGTATTTTATTTCTTTAAATTTATAGATTTTAATACCTTTACATTTAGCTTCCGAATAGTACCGATGAAATGATTTCCCAAGTCATTTATGATAGAGTGACCTTCTGAGTAAGTCATGATTTACTGATCTTCTGAATATCAAAGTACTGATGTAATGATCTCCTAAATAAGTTATGATATAGTGACCTCCTGAACCAAAGCACTGACATAATGATCTCCTAAGTCAAAAATTTCTACATTACACAAATCTTTCTCATTCTACTTACGCAATGTTTCTGTGAACCTTACAAGTCTATCTTTTTTACCAGCCCATGATCTGGGACCATCATATCATTCATAAATACTGTACTGATTACCTTAGACACATCAGGAAATCCCCTCACATCAATATACAATTTAAAATACAAATAACTTGTCTCCAGTATTCATATCCAACCATCAGACACCTGAATGCTTATTTCATACAAATGACAGTAATTCAGATCTGCACTTTTGTATGTCATTTCTTATGTTTCTATACACAATAAATATACATTTTGTGAGCTTCACCCTATTGTAAAAACCAAATATTACATTAAGTAAAGTTAAAATAACAAAATAGCCAAAACTTGCAAGTAGTCCTATGTAGGGAGCATATATGTAATATATATGGACACACACAAACACACATATTCACTTTCAAGAATCTTATTATATACTGTGGATATAATATATTCAATGATTAATCACCTTATTCTACTTCTTGTTTTCATTCCCAAGTCGTTTTTTTTTACTTGATTTATAAGTGTTCTGAAAGCTATAAGAGTATCACATATTATGCAATAATGAACACGAAAAGCTTTGCAAGAGCAATCATGTTTAGTTGCAGAGTGTAATAAACCACAAAAAAAGAAATGCATATTGAATAACACAATATCAAGTTAATATTCTTCAATTGATCACATTTCACTCAGTTCCTAGGGATCAGATAACAAACAAAAGCTATAACAATTTTACATTTGTTTTTTGGAACATTAGAATTTTTTAAGTGACACCTGATGTATCAGTGTTTTAAATTCAAGAAACTGTGTAAAAATTAACTGTATATATGTACTCAGTAAGTGTTTTAATATTGAAAATATTACACTGTGTACTAAAAATGTATTTTAGATGTATTGTTTTCATTCCAGGATTTCAATCATGTTCAACATACAAAGGCAAAGAAAATCTTAAATGTTTCTAGGTGGTGTTCATAAAGTACACATGTACGTGTACAGTTTTGACATCTATATGCTTGAATTTACAAAAACATCAGTTTGGTTTATTAATTAATTGTAAGTCTGTGTTACTTTTGTAAGGGAGACTATACACAATCTAGATTTTTAGTATACTTAAACTGGTCTTTGTTCTCTACACTAGTGCTTTGCACTTCACTGACTCTTTTGGTGCAGGTCACTTGATCTCTTTCTTGGAAAGGTAAAACAGAGAAATGATGCACTGATCTAGTACTGGTTTTAGCCACGAACTCAGATTAAAGGCCAGAACTTTTTAAATGGTATTAAACTTTACACTGTTATTTGGGAAGAAAGAGTTTACCAGAAATCAAGGTCAGATAATAATAACAAAAAACGCCAGGGTTCTCATAAGTTATTGAAAATCAGTCAGGTCCAACAGAGGTAATAGCTGTTGCTTTTTTTGTCTTTAGTCCTAAAGGTTTTATGTGGTATGAAAGTTACACTATCCTTGGCTTTACTGATCATCATTAAAGCTTCTAGCTTGCATTTCAATTTTGGTATGAAAGCAGTGGATAAAAAAAAAAAAAGCAGGCTTTGGTAATAAGACACCTGGTTGTCATAAATGTAACTGCTTAACTGCTGCTGGACAAGGCTATTTATTAGCTAAAAAGTCTATTTTATAGAAATAATACAGCCTACAAAAAAAGGTATTTTGAGGCAACAAACTGATCAAGTAAATTAACAAGTTACAATAAGATTATTTGTGTTTGTTTGTTTTAGAGTAAAGCCACATTGGGCTATCTCCTGTGTCCATCACGGGGAATCAAACCCTGGATTTTAGCATGTAAATCCACAAACTTACAGCTGTCCCACCAGGGGACATTACAATCAGAATTATTAGATCTAAAACTCGATGGCTCTCTTGTCCAAAAAAATTCAATCACTGGGAATCAAACCCTGGATTTTAGCATGTAAATCCACAAACTTACAGCTGTTCCACCAGGGGACATTACAATCAGAATTATTAGATCTACAACTCGATGGCTCTCTTGTCCAAAAAATTCAATACCGAGACCTCAAGATGCAGAAGGTGCTGAGGATCAGAAGAAGGACAAAGAGGAGACAAAGGAGGAAGAGTAATAATGGCTGGAGACAATTTGTACCTGATGATGACAAAACCTTGTCGAAACGTTGTACATTTGCTGCTACGTTAAACTTATATTAAAAGTTTTTCTTCATTACCCATTCAAGCCGTCTCCAGCCATTATTAGTCTCAAAGTGGGTTCCTCAGTCACCGAAAAAGGAGGAAGAGATGAGAAAAGCCTTGTTTAAGAACTGGAATGATCCACTAAACGGCTGCAAATGGGGTACAGAGGTCTGAAAACAGAAATAATTGAGCCCCATGAGGTCTCAGTCAAATAGATATAAAGGAAGATAGTCATCAATGAGACATGCAACGGCAACTCGATGGAAGGGGAATGGAGAGAGAGGAAGAAAAGGGATGAGAGTTGGGAAAAGAGAGACAGGTGGAGGGTTTACGGGGGTCAAGGAACATGCATGGATTCTTGAAAAACCAAGGAAGAAAGGGTGGTTGGTGTTGGTTAGGAACACCAACAAAGACTTCAGGAAAAGAGAAGGAGCCAGACAGAGGTCACAGAGGTTAAGGAAGATGAACAGCAGAAAGAAGAATGTCACATCCAAAAAAAAAGTCAATACAACAGAGGAACCAAGTAAGCAGGGACACAGCAGAAGATTAAACTCTGGTCAAGGTATTGAAAAGTACCAGTCATAGATCTCCAGAAAACTATCTGGATCAAGGTGTAGGGTTTCAGAAAGAAGATGAAGAGAGGATAGGTAACAAAGGAGATGGGAAATAAAAAAGGCAAGGATATGAAAATGCATCACTAGAGAGATTATTAGAGAGAGGGAGTCAGACCCCAAGTGCATAAAAGAGACTCCAGGGATTGAGAATCCATGAATGGAAAAGGGGAACTCCCATAAGCTATGTCAAAGGAATCTGTGAGTGGAGAAGACAACGCATTTGAGAGTGTGAATAAAGCTGTTCCAGAAATGTATCAGTGTGTACACACATGTCTGAAAGAGGAGGAAAAACTAAATACTCCTCAGCCTGAAAAGCATGTAGTAAGGAACAGGGAAAATTAAAAAACAGAAAGTAAAGAACAAACCTGAAAAATCAAATCCACAAAGAGATGTGTAGGAGGAACATTGTCCTTTACAGGTAAAGAGAAGC